AGGAACAGCCAAGGTGCTATTGAAGGTAGAGAACTAATGGAAAACATGAGAATTCTTGCCAAAACTGAAACTAGATGTTTGTGAGGAGTAATAATGGTTTTAAACTTATTATTGTGGGCTTTGGAATTGACTGCATAGGATAAATACTTGCATTTTTGCTTCCACTATCTACCAAACAACAGGAAGGACATGGACTCCTACCTTTTCCGGCGACGGCCATACAGCTCCCGACGGAGTTCTCGGGAAATGGGCTTGAGGTGCATGAAGTTACAGAATCCTCCTCGAGTGCACTCTCTGTGGACAGAAGAAGACATGAGGACTGCTACCCCAGCACAGCAGCCTTGCTCCCAAGCAACATGCCAGGGTACAGCCAGCACAGATTTGGAAGAAGGAGATCTGGCTAAATTAAGAACTCTTTGAACGGGCTACAGTATTGGACTTGTATATACATATTTCAGGAAAGCTTCAGTTTCTCCACAACTCTCAGGCATGCAGTAGGTATTCAAGGAAATGCATGTCTGGATTCTAAACTAGTAAAAAAAAAATACACATATAAAGCATGGAAGCTCAACTGGATTAGGACCACTGCTCTCCCTAATTTCTAAGAATAACCTCTGGTACAGTGTAGAAAGTGTGGAGAAAAAGTGTTTGCACTTAGTTTATGTACATTTTCTATGTCAATCTAGATCAGGGTTTCTGCTATTAAAATTTCAATTTGGGATTTATTAGCATAACACTCCTCTCTATAACAAGACTTGTCCTTAGAGCTTCTCACACTTCAGAGGAGACGTATAAGCAGATGCTGACTGTACAGAGCATAAAATAAGCTTAAAAGTCCTAGCACTCACCCCATCTCATACTGGCGACAGCAGGCTTCCCTGAAGTCAGTCACAGGTGAAAGCTCTGCGTGTATCGGCTGCCCATTGAACCACCGATTGTTTAAATCCATTACAGCCTTCTCAGCATCTTCCTCTCGACGGAACTACAAGCACACAAGAGAAGAATGTGAGACCTAGAGTAACTTCAGAAAATTCTGAGGGACAATAGGCCAGCGATACATATGCAAGGACACTGGGCACTGTGATAAGGAAGGTTAAGGTCTATCTGCAGTTTAAAGAGTCTCTGCTTGTTCTGTAGCTCTGCACAAGGAGTGCAGTATCTTTTACCTAATAAATAAGGTAAGGTTCTGTAATCTAGACTTAAGCAAGAAGAGATTTTAGCACTCACCTTCACATACACATTTCCAACCAGGTGATCTCCCAGATTGTCACACACATTCATTTCTTCCACTTCACCGTACTTTTCTTCCATCTCCGTGAAGACCTCCTACAAAGTCAGCAGCACACATCAGTCCAGCAATGTGAACTTACTGCTGCTCATGCTCAACATCAGGGGACCTGAGCAGAGGACCTCCTTCCAAGAAACCACTCTCGACAAGGAAATGTTTTAGACAGTTGTTTCTATCAACACTGAAAAGGGAACTGCAAAAACACACATCCACCCTGGTTCAAGGACCCAGAGTTTGAAAACAAACGTTCAAATGTAGTGTATTTTTGCAGCACTGGAAAATGAAATGGGGGAAATAGTGTTAATCTGCATCAGTAGTGCATGTCACAGACAGGATTTACACTGATTGTGGAGGGTAATGAACAACTTCAGTTTAAATCCTGCAAATGGAATTTATTGTAAACATAGTCAATATTAAATGCTGAAGGTTTAGATGTACAAAACTTTACTTTTAAATATGAAAAATCAACCATGCATCATTTTTAGAACTAGATGTTACCCACATTCACTGGGATTTTTGTCCCAGGAGGTTATAGCAAACGTTATAATGATGAATGCGATTTCCTGCAGCACACAAATCCAACCAAAAGATTATGGCACAAATAAGAAAAATAAAAACTTGTTCAGTTCTTTGATAAGCAAACAAGACTACATTAGATCTTTTCTCAAACAGGAGGGAAGAAAATTTCTAATCCGTTTACAGGGCTGATTTTGCATATAAGCAGTTTTCACTCACCTCAAAGAATTCATCGTAATGCTCTTGCATTTCCACATCGCTTACAGCACCTGATTGAAAGGCAAAAAGAAACAGTTTACCTTATAGATGCTAAAGAACCCAAACATCTCCTGGAAACTTAACTCTAGAAATAAAAGGATACTAATTTGTTAAAACAAAGCTGCTGATTAACGGACGTTGCAAGTGAAAGGCAACAGGACTATCATGACTATCCAACATTATCTCTAACATTTACAGAACACTGAACAATACTATTGTCATAAAATCCATCTGCCATTCTAAAATCTAAAATTGTAAAGTTAAGTTCAGTACCAAGTGTTACCCTCAATGGAAGGAGAACAGGATGGACACATTTTCTCAAAAGCAGACTAGATATTGTGAGATTTTTAACAGTGAAAGGGAATATAAATTAAGAACTTTTTTGAGTCTACTGTTAATGCTTTTTCATCAAGTATTACATGTATAACTACAAGGAAATTACTAAATTCAAATTAGAAACAATTAACTTCAAAATATCTTATGAGACTGTGCTTCAGAAAGATGGCAAGAATTTTAAATATCCCTACAGTTATCACTTGGAAGAGGAGAAAGCGTCCATTTTATCCTCACTTTCCTTGACCAAGGTACTTTCCCGACAACGAAAACAATTCTCCTGGCTGAGAATCAGTGAATGCTATAAAATGTCAGGGAAAACTAAAATGAAACCAAATGGATATTTCCGCACAAGTAGCCTGTCAAGGGCACTCCCTCTGTAAGCACTTTCCGTGCAGTGGGACTGGTAAAAGCCTAATGAGCATGCAAAGACACCAGGCTTGCTCAAGGGAAAGGGCTTTAGAAAACAGGTTAGGGACACAGGGGACAGCTTTACAGCAGGGGGCCTGTCTATTACTCGTGATTCTCACTGATAACCAAGATATTTCTGATCGATTGATAATTCCCCCCCCCAATAACCATCACAATGGAGTGCCTCCTATGAAGATATGCTGATGATTTCCTTACGGTGGCATGGAATTACATTCCATGGCGCGGCTTTGCAATCTTTCACGAATCAGATTTTAAAGAAATTAACGAAGCCTGCCACCCCCTTTTTCCGTTTATAACTGCTGATGTGGCGTACGAGAGATCCCATTGCGAATTCCTTGAGATTAGAGTGGTTCATGACAGTATCAAGGGCTGCTTGATACAAGTCTGCCCTCTTAATTTCAATAGAAGTTAGAAGCCCTTTCTGTGCTAGGTAGTTGGTAAAACTAGAGGCAAAAAGTGCTGAAGGGGCTCAGATTCAGGTCATAGAAACTGAAAACAACAAGAATAGGAACACTAAAAAAAATGACAAATCAATGCCGCAGGATCCTGCAAACAAGTTTAACTTACAGCGTAAACCATCAGCAGACTGGGCAGTGTTTTGAGGGTTACGGTAAATGTTCAAGAGGGCAATGGTCTGAAATACAAAATGTAAATTTTTGTAAAAAGGTTACCATTCAACTCATTTTGCTTTCGTTCCCATACTATCCATAGTCCAGTTGCAGGCCAGGCGCTGAAAGAAAAATGTTATGGGGCACTCCAGTGTCCCCTGGCCGCGCTGCGATGGGGACCTCAGGACAGCACGCTCATTATTGTTTCCACAGCTTAGCCCGCCGGGTCAGCAGGCTAACAAGCTCTTGACTCAGGGTACACAGGCTTTTCAGCTAGGCCAAATTAGTGTACTATGTACCAACAGGCATTTAGGAGTCCGTGTAGAACAAAATAAAAGCACCTTTGATATATATCAAAAAGTATTCTGTGCTTTCTTAACTGCTCTTAAATTTCACTTATTACAGAGAATAAGAGCAGGACATATTAACATGCAGTGCGCCTAACCTGGACAAGGAAAAAGACATGAGAAGTTAAGGACAGCTGCAGGTCACGTCTGCAGAGATTTAACCAGGTCTTCTAGGGGTAGGCAAATTAAAAATTGATCTGTGTAGCACTGTTGCAATAAAGAATCCAAGCAGTGGGAGCTGAAGGCCTCCATTCCAATTCCAGGTGACTGAAAATGGCTGAGCTTGTTTAAGACATGCAACATGTCTCCTGCTTCAATTCAGGAAAAACTTGGTGAACTGGCACAATCGACTCAAGAGATACTGACAACCCAGAGACACTGCAGGCCTGACCACTCACATGTTGGTTAGTATTTTAAGAAATATCTCCCTTAAAGACACAAAACTGTTCACTGTCTTCTCTAAGCAAGTTAGGGCTTTGGATCCCACAAACAGTGGATATGACAGGAAAGGCAAAAAATAGTCAGAATAAAAATCATCTTTAAGTGACTTTATACTGACTCCTTATGACTGGTACAAACACAGCACAGTACTTGATTTTTAAAAATAATTTTCCAGTTACTACAGCACAACAATGAGGTGTGTTCTTTTGAGATCCCCATTAAAAAAAAGAAAAGGAAAGTTAAAATAAGCCCCCCCAACAAAAGATGCAAATGATGCCCATTCACAACTCGACTTACCTGTACAGCAGCAAGTGGCTGTGCATCAGCTCTGCTAAGCGGGGCTCAACAATCTCAAGTACTTCTCACACAGTGTGACTAAGATTTGAGGTTAATTTTCTAATTACTATGGATGCTTTGGTTGGTATGTAATAAAACATGGCAGTAGTTTGTAGGGAACAAGGATTTAAACACTGAAGCCACTTGAAATCAACCATGACAGCTTCTGATTGAGTCTGGGGATTTCGGCTTGAGGTCAAACAGGCGACTTGGGCATGAAAGACAACCGTCACAAACGGCGGACATGCTGTTTAGAATAAATGACGACTTGCAAAATGCAACTGCTAGGTGAACTTTTTTAGAAATCCATTAGGAAGCCGTGTTGTAGCAGACAATGGATGAATTTGTTACTGTGCCGTGAAATTCACCGTTCTGTAAACGCACTTCAATGCTTGATGAATGCATAAGGAAACCAAACACCATTTGACAAAGGGAAAGTGTGAAGTGGGGAAAAAAGAATCCTGAAAATGCTGAACAATGACAGACCGATACTACGCACACAGATGAACAAAAAGGAGCCAAATTAAAACCTCTCCGGACACCATTTCAAACACGACTGTAGTGTTCCTCATCTCCAGCGGAAAAAAGACGTAGGGATATTGGAAAACAGACCTTCCAAGGTTAAGGAAGACTGAGATGCATCTTTATCAAGCATGCAAAGTCAAAACATAAGCCTGCCATGAACCCAGTCTTGATCTGAAAAGGCCTCTCTTCGCGTCACCTGGATGCCTCACCCAGTCAGGCTACTTGCTTAGATCACAAGTTGAGGCCTTCAGCCCAGACCGTCAGTTTAAGCCCAGATCACGATATCACTGGCCAAATTCGTCCGGAATTCCTGAAGGGCAGTGTCGAACTGGCGAGAGCCCACGGGGTTAGATGGGCTTCAGTCAGCCAGTTTCCTCTAGCCTTTGTCACAGGTTTGACTGTAGGACGTGCCCCAAGCTCACAGCGATGATGGAGAGAAAGGTGCCGTTCCACCATTAAGTGCTATCTTTCTGGTGAGAAAGGGTGGAGCTTGCGATAGATCTCAACGATGACGAGCTCTAATTAAGTGTTGCAGGGTACAGGAGCAAATTAACTGGTACCCCACCTTGACAGATATAGTAAAGGAGTAAAAAAAAAAAATCATCAGAGAAATCCAAATTGGTAGGCATAAAATAGAAAACTGGCAATTCAAAAATTGAGAAACAGACCTTTAGGCTCTCAAAGATGTAAAAAAATATAGGGTAGAATCAGATCTGGATTTCAGCAACAGGCTGGCAAAGGAAAATCTTGGGGGGCTGGGGGCATGTGTGATGTGTACTGTGGTCTTGTTATCCCCTGCTAACAGCACTGAAGCAGCCCCACTTTAATCTGCTGGCACCCATTTGTAAGTCAGCAGTTTTGGCAGACACCCCCGTATTGTTCAGAGAGGGATTTTGTACCCCTAATCTAAAATATTTCTGACAGTGGGACTTACAGTGTGAGCCGTCGGCCGTCTGTGCACTGTTTTGGGGATTACGGTAGATGTTTTGAATCAAGATGGTCTGTAGAGGGAAAAAATAAAAAAATCAAATAAAATTCCCCACTGCTCTGCAGAGCATAACTAATTTTCTTTCTTGGTCATTGCAAATGTCCTTATAAACTATGAAAACTAGATGCAGCTATCCCTCCTAGAGTTTGTAAGGAAAAAAAGCATGCCAGTGTTCTTTTTCAGCACGAAAGATGAAAATCTCTTTGACCATCTCTTTTGATCAAGACCAAGCTTTTCCTTAAAGGCCACAGCAAGGCCTTCCAAACACTACTATAATTCTGGGCCCAGCTGGAACTTGGGAAGTTTGTCTGTCAGCAAGCAAAAAAAAAATTCCTATGACTTTAGTTTCACAGGCCAGCCTGGCACATTTTTTTTGATGAAGGATGACTTGATTAAGGGAAAACTCTCTCAGCACTCTTCCAAGACTTAAAAAGTAACTCAATCTCAACGAACGCAAAATGTATGAGCATATAGTCTGCTACAAAAATAGGACTGCTCTTCAAAATTGTATCCTTACAACAGCTTTTAGTGCTGTAATATTTGACTTCACATTTTGCAGCTCTTACTTTGTTGGGACATCACTTACAGCAAAAAAAAAACAGAAAAAAAGCACTTAAGCCAGAAATGTCTACAGTGTCTACACTACGAGAACCTTTTGTACACAACCACTGAAATGTAATCTTAGCAGTCAGCAAGCCAAAAATCATAAATATCTACGTAATGAATACATACCATTCTGAAAACTGAAGTACTATGGATAGATGAGAGATATACTTCACCAAAGCCCTGAAAGCCATACCAATCTTCAGCACATATACTAAATCTCAAGCAATGCAGGGAGAAATATTGATGGTTCCGGGCGGGGATAGGGGTGGATAGATACTGACATTTCTAATATAAGTCAGTAATAAGTTCTAGAGCAAAAAACAGCATAGCATTCAGAAATAACATGATGGGTGTACTAGTTTTTGAGGAGCAGCCTCCAAGGCTGAACCTAAGGAAATATTCTTGTTAATAGTCTACGTCACCATCCACATAATTTCTGCAAAATCAAATTTCTTATATTTGCGGGAAACGTTAGTTTTTATGCGAGATTGCTTGCAAAACACCTATCCTTAAACTAACATCTTTGCTAGTCCTGTGTGAGAAACCTGTTTTTGGCAGTCCAGTGAAAAATTTGCCCACAACAGGTAACTAGGCATGCAGGATCTTTTTCTTTCAATATCCATCAAGTACCACAGGTGGCTTGTGACGACTTGACTAACCATTCATTAGTTTACGATTGTAGAAGTGGGTCTTCTACCTCTATCAAGTTCACCAGATATCTTCCAAGGCTTGTGTGGCTCAAAGACAAGTCAAAACGGATCCGCAATGACAAACGTGAACAAACTGGAGTGTGGGATTTCTTTTTATATAAGGACATTTTTTAAACATTATGCAGTAAAACGTGGATGACTCACAAGACTACCATGGACCAAGTTGCCTGCCTTGTATATCCTATTCCTAGAGTAAATCTGAACACAGATCTACTTCTTATGCTTTACGGTTGTTTGCAAAGGAATTCAAGGTAAGATGCAAGCCTGTTCATGACAGCAAAGTCCCAGTGGCTATAGAGGAACAAGAAGTAAAGCCCTTTTGCAGATCTCTAACTAATAGCGATGCTGTTGCGTTCTAGTTTCACTGCTTACAGCGACGGAGAATGCAAACTATGAAGCCATAAACTCCCATACCACATATACCAATCTGGCAATTTACCACGGCATGAAAAGTAGATTTCCATTCATTTTGGCCCATTGGTAAACCGAAGTTAACGAGCTTAGAAGTTGCAGTACACAATTAAATTCTCTCTGCAAGTGGCTTTTGCCCATACTGGTTATTCCTGACCAACAAATACAGCAACCTAAATGAAGGACATGTGAGGATTAGTTATTTGACAGCCCTGATTTACATATTTTCATGCATTTAGCTGGCTGTTTTTCAAGATGCTCAATTTCTGTTTTTATATAACACATAACTTCCATTTTAGTAAAAACCCTCATTATCCCACTGTATTGTGAGGAAATACAAGTTTCATGCATTTAGCTGGCTGTTTTTCAAGATGCTCAATTTTTGTTTTTCTATACCACATAACTTCCATTTTAGTAAAAACCCTCATTATCCCACTGTATTGTGGGGAAATACAATGTTAACACTGGCACTTTGTGAAAGGATGCTTAACAGTATATTAATGTTTTTAGATATTAATGTTTAAGTTAAAGTAACCTGGTAAAACGAACAAATCAAAGGCAAAATATAAACAAATTAACAGCAAAAATGCTCAAAGCAATGGCAATTATTCAAATATTAACTACAGTAAGAATGCCGCATTGATACCACAATGGACCAGGAT